GGAGATAGGGTAAGGCCATTCAAAGTTATGGCAAGCCTAATCTGTGTAGGGTAGTAGTTGCTACCCTTCAAAGAAGAGAAGAGATCCAAGCAGACATACAGGAGGTATCATGTGACAACCAGAAGATCAGGGTGACGCACTAGCAAGCATGAGACACTGAAGATGACCTGCACACCCCTAGGAACCAAGCAGAGGCCTGGAGCAGATCCTCCCTGTGGGCCTTCAGAGGAAGCTGGCCCAGGCAGCATGTGATCACAGGTTTGCAGTATCGAGAGAGCTCTGGGAGAGAATGCACATCTGTTGTTCTAACTTACCTAGTAGCTCAGCTATGGACAGATGCTGAAATATGACTCAAACCAGCCTAAGGAAGAAGTAAAGTCTGATTCTTAGAGTTACAGGACCAGAACTGCCAGGAGTGTTATTTTGTCTTTTTTATTTTTTTCTCAGAGCTGAGGACCGAACCCAGGGCCTTGTGCTTGCTAGGCAAGCCCTCTACCACTGAGCTAAATCCCCCACCCTCAGGAGTGTTATTTATTTGATACAGGAGGCATTAAGATCAGAACATACCCCTCCCCTATAGGAACTTACACAAGATGGCAATTTCAGTTTACTTATTTAATCTTGAGGCTCAAATCCAGAATCCCACATCCTTGGCACATGCTTAGCACATGCTTGACATAGGTTTGTCCACTGAGGTACATCTCCAGGCTCTGACGGTTTATTTTATTTTTCTCCTGTAAATGTTGGTTACCCAGGGTTGGTTAACATAGCTGCTTCATGACATCAGAGACCCAAGACATTTCTGTTTCTGCTGCCATTCTAGGAAAGTGACCTCTACCTCATGGCTAAGATCCAGCTTCACGACTGCCTATCATCTTGGAGGAGAAAGTCAGCTGAGGGAGACTTACCCAGGCCACATAGGATATCTCTGTCTGCTGCCCGAAATTTAGTCATATCACCAATTTTAACTCAAGAGAGACTGGAAATATACTATTTCAGGAATATATGAGTCTACTTGTTTATTTACAGATTCAACTAGAAGCTTCTTCCATAGAGTATTTGTGGAGGAATATCAAGTGCAGAAGTCCTATGAGTAACTGCAGATAAGACATTTAAGAGGAGGAAAATCAGTTCTGAAAGTAAAAACAAAATTAAAGTGAATGAATTTTAGTTATACATTTCCAGAGAAGAGGGTGAGATGGCTGAGAGAAGTAAAGCCTGAGAGGAAAGGCTCCAGGAGAGGCAGGCAGGGCGCTGGAGTTCAGCCATGATAACCCAGAGGGTTCAGAAAGATGAGGCCCTTAAGTGATGCTCTGGACAAGTTTCAAGAAAAGAGAGGCCCAGCAGTGTGCAGAGAAGAGGCAGCTATGGTCTGAATATGTCAGACCTTGGGGTGGTCTGAACATTGCAATCTAATTGCAAATTTGTTCCTGTCAAACAGCAGGGCCTTTGTGAACTGGCTGTCACCAGAATAGAGCTCTCCCAGATGGAGTTAGGGATTATCAAAGGGCTTGAAGTGGAGGCCATTTGCTCTCTTTCCTTCCTTTTGCCCTGTGAGCAGTCAGCAAGTCCTCAGCAGTCAGCAAGCCCTCACCAGTCAGCAAGCCCTCACCAATCAGCAAGCCCTCACCAGTCAGCAAGCCCTCACCAATCAGCAAGCCCTCACCAGACAGCACTGGGAGTCTTGATTTTGGGCTTCCTGGCCTTTAGAACAGTGGGAAGAAATGTCTGTGGTTCACAAATTACCTAGCCTGTGATATTTTATTAGAAGACAGCAAAGTAGACCAAGGGAGAGACTGGTTAAAATAAAGACCATGTCTTCACAGCACAAGAAGCTCGTTCTGACTGTCCTGCTGAAAATCAAAGATTGCACCAAGCCTTTGTCTTGAGGCCATTGCATCCAGTGACATTTTGGAACCTGGAAGTTAGGTGAATCTCAGTGAGGAGGTGAAGGACACAACTCCCCATCCCTCCTGAGGGACAGGTCACACCTGAACACTGAGGTCATTGACTATCTCTGTCACCACTGTCAGGTGGGTGGGGGCCATAAAAGGCCCTAGGATATGGAGCCCAGCCAGAAGGCTCTGGAGATGAAGGGTTTAAACCTTTACCTGGTTCTAGGGGAAAACATCAAGGTCAAGTGCGGCACTGAGGCCTTTGCACCGAGATGTGTACAGGGATGGGCTGGGAGCAACCCAACTGCCCACCAGCTGGCCCATGGACTGTGAACTGTGCTCCATGAATGTACTAACTGAACATATAACTGGCACCTTTTTGACTGCACCTCCCAGACTGGCTGCTGCTGTTGACTCAGGCCATGAGCAGTGGGTGCCATGGGCGAATCAAAAGCAATGCTTTGGGAGAGAGAAGAAAGCGGGTGAGGTGGGGGTGGGGAGCTGGTAAAAGAAGGAGGTGCCTTGCCCAGGGCTTCTGGGACCTGGGTTATCTGTCCTGGGGCTTAGTGCCTCCCTGACTGCTTAGTTCTTCTCCACCCTAGGAAGGCAGGGTGTGGCTAACCTCAAAGTGGCCACTGTAAAGAGACAGGCCTACTTTCTATCAAACCACTAAGGGGTAGGCAAGCTACTTAGCTGCCCAACTCCAGTTTTCACACCTGCCAACCATTGGCAATGATTACACTATTCAGGGTGGCTGTCAGGAGCGACATGGTGAGTGCCACATTCTGACACCGAGGAGGGCTGGAGTCACCATGGGAAGATGTCCTCACATAACACTGTCCAAAGATTCTGGGATGATGGCCGTTGATCACTTGAAAGTGTCTAGAGTAGTTAAGGGACTGATATTTTTCATTTTATTCCATTTCGATTGTTTTACATTTATTTATGAAAAGTATTTATTTATTTATTTTTTTTAGGTCTGAGGATGAGCCTTCAAACTCAGGGCTCACCAGGGCTAGGCAAACACTTTACACTAAATCATATTCCCAGCCACCACTTAACCCCTAACTTTACATTTAATTAATTTAGTGTGTGTGTGTGTGTGTGTAGCATGTGCAGGTATGCAGACAGGTGTATGTTGTGCCTGTCAAGGTCAGTGGTACCTTCAAAAGTGATTGATTCCTCAGGCACTTCCCACCTCTGTTTTTAAGATACAGCTTTTCCTTGGCTTGGAGTTCTCACTTTGGGATAGGCTGTGGCGCCCCAGGGATTTGCCAGCCTCTGCCTCTCAGGGCTGGGATTATAAATGGGTGTCCATCCAGTTTGGATTTTTTAAATATGGATTTTGGGGCTTGAACTCAGATCTTCATGCGTGCACAGTAAGCACTTTACAGGCAGGATTGCGCTGTGTAGTTTATTTACACAGTGTATCCTCAAATCTCCATCCTCTTGCCTAGACCCCCCCCCCCTTCCATCCTCCTTAGGGCTGGGACTAGGGACACAGGCCATCAGCGGGCCTCTTATTGTACTTTTGTAACTTTTTTTTTTTTTTTTTGGTTTTTCGAGACAGGGTTTCTCTGTGTAGCCCTGGCTGTCCTGGAACTCACTCTGTAGACCAGGCTGGCCTCGAACTCAGAGATCCGCCTGCCTCTGCCTCCCAAGTGCTGGGATTAAAGGCGTGCGCCACCACCGCCCGGCTCTCTTATTGTACTTTTAAATAGCTATCTGGGGCAAAGGACAGTTGGTCACCTGAGGCAGGAATTATACTGGGCCGTGCTAAGTATGGATGCTCAATCATATGGGCCCTGTACCAGAATGCATCTGTCCGTGTGGTGCTCTACACTCTGAGATCATCTAAATCGAAGACTGCATTCACTGCAACCCACAGCCCTCGGCTGTCCACCCTGTCCACACACCATCTTGTAAGAGAAAAATCAGACGGAGACTGGTTCCTCGCACAACCTACTGAGGCCCTCAGTTCCTTTATTTTTGCAGCAAGCAAGAAGGCTCTGCCTTTGCAGTTCCATTTCATACATGAGGAAACTGAGGCTCAAGGAGGCTCCGCCAGAAGGCGGGAAACAGGACAACCTCTTGGAGAACTCCGATGCCCGCAAAGACACTTCCTTAGGTCGGGTTGTCAGGGTGGTAGAGAAAGCGGCGGGTAAATATTTGGGACGGTAACCTGGGCTCCGGCGACACCAGTCGTCACTGCGGTTCTCCGGAGGCCAGCGCGTGGCTAGGGCGGTGCCGTGGGTAGGGGGTGGGTGGGCAGGGGCGTCCCCCTAGGTCGTCTGGGACTTACTCAGCGGCCCCGCCCCACCCCGCCCCTGCCCGTGGCTATAAGACTGTGTAGCTGGCGGGTGGCGGCGCAGGCGAGTAGCTAGCGCTCAGGCTCGGCAAGGAGCAAGGCACAGCCACGCGAGCGGACCGCAGTGCAGGCGGCAGCCACCAGGGCCGACACCTCGCAGCATCTCTGCTACGCGTGTCACCGAGCAATCTCTCCATGAAGCCGCCCTCGGCCCAGAGCAGCCCCGCGGCGGCGGCAGCCGCAGGTGAGTGCCTGTTTGGGGGTATCCCCTCCACCTCTGCGCCCCGTGATCGAAGTCAGGGACTGCGTCCACGTTAAACTACACTCAGCTCCGGGGCCCCTGAGAGCCGGAGCCTGCAGGTAGGGACCAGAGAACAGAGGTAGCTATGGTCTCCCTCCACTGCCCACTCTTCTACCCTTCATCACCCTGGCATCTGGTCCCCGGAATCGCTCATCCGATGCAGGTTTAGCTTGGTTTCTCACGGGGGACAAGGAACCCGAGCCTGGACACGTAACGGGTGCTTGCTGACTCAGACTCCCTGCCGCCACGCGCTCCAGGGAGCGAGCGTGGGCACAAGTTGGAAAGCGGGTGGGGTGGGTTAGGTGACTTTCCAGACTTTCCACCCACGGAGGCCGCTTCTCGTCTGTGTCCGGTGACAAACGCTTTAGAGGGTGGTTGAGAGGTTACGAAGTAACTGACTGCGTGGCTGTCACCGGCAAAGGCAGAGGGAAGTTAGCCATTCTAGGGAACGCTGGCCGCCTCTCCAGATCCCCTCTGTGCCCTCCCCCAGCCCCGGCCATGGACTCCGCGGCCGCCGCAGACCTGACGGACGTGCTGTGCGAGTTCGACGCGGTGCTGGCCGACTTCGCGTCGCCCTTCCACGAGCGCCACTTCCACTATGAGGAGCACCTGGAGCGCATGAAGCGGCGCAGCAGCGCCAGCGTCAGTGACAGCAGCGGCTTCAGCGACTCCGAGAGTAAGTGAAGCTCTGTTGAAGTCAGTAACCCTCAGGCTCAGGCTTCCCAGAGCTCTAGAGTCACCTGGGCTATCTGTAAACAGAGGCACGATGTCTGGGAGAAACTCAGACCTGAGGATCTGCACTGGCACGCCTGGAGAGTTGACTTTCTGAGTCTTTAGCCCAAGGTGTGCAGGGTGTGTGTGTGTGTGTGTGTGTGTGTGTGTGTGTGTGTGTGTGTGTGTGTGTTGGGTGGTGGTGGTGGTGGTCATTAAGGCATTCTTGGGGGAGAGAGGTATGGGGGGCGCTCTTAAAGAGCTGCGGGTCTACCTGTCATGCCAGGTGTGTATCATGGCAGGTGAGGCCTGAGGGTTTGAACTCCTGGGTGTCCAAAAAGGCCTTCCAACAGTTTTCCCGCCTTTCTCCTCGCTCTTCATTTTTTATTTTATTGAGATCTTCCCAAGGTGATCTATGTAGCTGAGGATGACCTCTAACCTCTGATCCTCCTCCTTCCTTGGGCTTCAGGGTGCTGGGATTACAGCGAAGTGCCACCACATTTAGGCACATCAGTTTAGGCAACGCTGGGGGGTCAGACCTAAGGCTTCTTGCATGCTAGGCAAAACACTAGACCAACAGCACCCTCCCTTTCCTTTTCCAGAATGGGTGTTGGGGGACTTGGGGACACGGGTGAGCACAATAATGAAACATTTATGAAACCCAATGATTTCATAAGCTGCTGGTTTTGGAATATTTGAAATAACTTCGTTCACTTTCCGCTGAGCTCCCAGGCTCTTTCGCCACTCCGGGCCCTTTTGAAACAATCTCCCGCTGGGCTGCTGAGTTCAAGTACAGGGTTTCGGGCATGCTCACCCTCCAGATTACCCAGAGAGGTTCATCCTAGTGACCTTTTCCACAATTCCTCTGTCCTAATAACCTTGGTAGAAAGAAAGGGGAGGTGAGGGAGGGAGGGAAAGAGAGATGGTTTTCAGTAACTCAAGTGACCTGCAAGAACAGTAAGTGTAGTGACTTTTTATTATTACATAATTGTTTTCAAATCTTGGCTTATTCACTGTTTTTCAATGTGAACTTTAAATTCTGTTTGTACATGTGCCCTTGGTCCCTAGATACAGGCTCAGATATCACCAATTGTGCTGTCCCCGATTCTGGGAGTAAAAGTCATATTGTTGTTTTGAAATCTAGAAAGTTCTTCCTTTGTAACTGGGTGAAGGTTCTGAGCCAGAGCTGTCCTCAGAAGGGATAATGTTTGACATCCTGGTCAGGATTTGAATCTGAAACCCAAGCTACAGTTTGATTTTCCTTAGCAGCCTGCAGAGATCGCCAGGTGACATAGGAGGTGATGGGGGATGGAAGAGGGCTGGTGACCTGTTTATTTCCATTTAGAACTTTTGTGTTTTGATGCCAATGACCTGGTCACTTGTTCTCAGCCTTCAAGTGAAGCCTTACTTTGGAAATTTGTCTCCATAGCTGTGGTGTAACTTGAATATATCTCCTTCCACTGGCACAAGGAACAAAGTTTTCATCGTGTATAAATTCTCTTCTCCACAGAAGAGAAGGCTAGGTCTGTCTCTGCTGCTCTGTAGTCAAGGACAGCTCCTTGCTAAGCCACAGCCTCAATCTAGATTAGAGTCTGAACCTGTGCAGTGACAGTGGACAGCACCCACCAGGTAGTTCTGCCAGGAGGGGTTTTGGATCCAGGGTGTGTTTTTAGGAGTCTTAAAAGAGAATTCACTACAGACAGTTTCTTAACAGTTTGGGAGAGAGTTGATAGAATTTGCAGTTTTCTTAGGCATATCTCTGTGTATTGTTGTTACCTTAAGCTTTTACTGTGGTGGTTAGAGAAGTAACGGGAAGGATCTAAGAAAGCACAGATGAGCTTGGTCTTCGCTGTCAATTCGGTTTGTTCCCTGTGTGCTTAGAAATTGTCTTGGTGGGATTTGTGTGCATCTAAGTAATGCTTTCTTAAGGACACAGAATATGCATGTCTTAATTATCTCCAGGAACGGAGTGCAGACATTCCTAATAATCGTCTGTTTGTTTGGTGGAAGTGAATGTTTGGGAGGGGTACAGCCCACTGAAACTTAGCTCTCCTGAGAGGGCCAGTCAGGTTTATCATGGTGGCTGCAGCAGCTAGCTTACTTTTAGCAAGCCCTCCCTGGAGTTGCTATGGTTGTAACGTGTTAGCTCTTGTTATCAGCCATCTCTGGCTGTTCTTTGAATGTTATCACACAAAATCTTTACCACAGTCCTACAAGTTAGCCACTTTTATCTTCATTAGTTTTGTTGATAAAATAACAGAACTCAGACTGGCCATCTATGGCCTTGCTCTGTCTTCATGTAAGGTTGGCTAACATGTGAGCCAGAACTTGGGAGTAGCCCGGCATTCCCTCAAGCTCAGATCATGTATCTTTTTATATATGGTATTGCAGGTCTTCTTCAAGGCTTTCAGGATCAAAGGTCTGTGGACCTAGATGATGAACAGTCCTGATTTTTGAAAAATACTTTTCTTTCCTCATTAAAAAAAAAAAAAAAAAAAAAGGAAAAAAACCAGGTTGTGGGACTGGAGTGATGACTCAGAGGTTAAAGACAGGTCTTGCTTTTCAAAAGGACCAGACTTTGGTTCCTAACACCTGTGTTGACAACTCACAACTGCCCTGCCTGGAACTCTAGCTCCAGGATCTGACACCTTTGGCCTCCAGGGGCACCACTCAAACACATAGGCACACACATTCACACTGGGGATAAGGGAAAATGGGTTTTAAAAAGGGCTGTGTCTCTCCTATAGCACTCTTTGAGGAACAGGTTTAAGATTCTCAGTAAAAGGGCAGTGCAATTGGGAGCTAGAAAAGCAGTCTTCAGGCTTCAGCCTTTGGGATGCTGTAGAAGTTGAATATCTTTGGGTTTATTTATTTATTTATTTATTTATGTTATTTCAAGTCTGGGTCTTACTATGTAGCTCTGGCTATCCTGGAACTCACTATGTAAACCAGGCTGGCCTCAGACTCACAGAGATCCAGGTGATAGGCTTAAAAGTGTGCGCCACCATCCAGCTCTTTTTCAGTACTTTTTTAAAAAAAAAAGTACAGCATGAGTCTTTAAGTGGGTTTAACAAAATCTTCACTCATTCTACCCCAATTTTTGACCCATGTCTTAATTGTATGCTTCTACTGGTTGACTTTGTAAATGGTTTATTATATTATTATTATTGATTTAAGGCTTTAAAGATGAAACCAAGGTGCGATTCTTATATATTGGAGTCCCACATAAGTCATCCCATGAGAGGGCAAGTGCGCTGCTGTTTAGTAGGGAAGGTCTGAGGTCTGCTGTCCGTGCTGTAGCTGAGGAGACTGTAGATGTTTGGGGAGAATAAGGAACTGGGTGGGTTCTTTAGCATAGCAAGGCTTAGAACATCTACATAGCTTTGCTTAGAATATTCTGGTCTGGTCCTGAGAGAGAAGGCCTTAGGGATCCTCTAAACCAGAATGACAGTTACCAAGCCGGTAGCTAATGGAGCTGAGGCATCAGGCGTTTAAACCTGTCAAGATGTGAGAGGGTGAGGCCAGGTAGGAGTCCTCCAGACACCTGGTACCATGCTAGGAACTGAGTGAGTGACGGGTCTTATTCTCTGATACCTGGCAAACCATCTTAGAGGGTCAGGACCATTCCAGAGGGTAGCTGGGGCACAATGATCAAACAGAGACCCAGGATTCTTTGTCACAGTGCCACGCTTCACTGAAGCTGTCAGAATTTAGAATTGGAGGAGAAGAAAGGCCCCCCTCATGCCTGCCATTCCCTGTGGGAACAGTGCCACAGACCCAGGGCTTCCTTTCTCTTGGTTAATTACTGTAGTTCACTTGCTACAGATGTGTGGGACTGTTCTATATTTACAGGCGCTCCGGGCAAGGCTCACTGTCTGTGGTTTTACTTTTCTCTGGGGTAGCATGTGTCAGTTCTAACCCTAAATTACCTTTCTCCCAACCCCCCAAACTAAAATAAAAAAAATCTATATCTTTCTTTTAAACAAAGCTTCTGTTTGTATTATGGAATTTCTTATACTTGGTGGGCATACCTAAAGTTAAGGGCTGTGTATGTAATATGCTTTTGTTTATTTTTTTGATAGTCCCTTAGGAAACCCCAGTCCCAGAATTTGAGACTTCAATGCATTACATGAATCAGGAATTTAAAGGATATTTGTAGTGGGGATTTGATTCTAGAGAGGTGGGCCTTCAAGGCAGTCTAAAGTAGATGCTTTAAGGTCTACCTTCCCACATATAAAGGTTTCTCAGATCATTACTGGCTCCCTTGATCATGACAACACCAGATAGTGGGGTGGGACAGCAATACATGTCTGTGCTATCAGCCAGAGACACACTGCTTCATTTTATCAGACTGGCTGAATATTATTTTTGCAAGAACTAGAGTTCTAAGGGAGTGAACACAGCAGGAGGCTGAACCTGGCTTACCTATTCATCTACCATAAACTGTAGATTCTGTTCATGCAGGCTTCTTAGTAATAGCTTGTTTGGGGGAAATACTGGGTAAAGAAGTTCAGTGTCTGGGTATCTCTGGATTCTTGATTAATTACCTCTGAAGAGAGAAACTTTTTTTTTTAAATGCTATAATCTGAAAATAGTGGGTAGTCAGGGTTCAGAATCTTGACTCTTTTTCTTTCAGTGATGATGTCCTCCTTCCTGGACCTGCTGGTCTCTATTTTTCTAGGAACTCGAAAATCAAATCATTATGCAGCCACAGCATCATATACAGAATGTGTAGGTTGTCACTGCCTGTCCCATGGCCTGTGCTCCCCGTCCTCTCTACAGCGGCATGGCTACAGGTACTTAGGGTCAAACAAAGTAGAACCTAGAGTTGGCCCAGGGCTTATGGAAACATGGAAAGCAGGTAGAACCATGGTGAAGTAATGAGCTGACAGGACATGAAAGAGAGAGAGAGAGAGAGAGAGAGAGAGAGAGAGAGAGAGAGAGAGAGAGAATGTGGTGTGTGCGTGCGTGCGTGCGTGCGTGTGTGTGTGTGTGTGTGTGTGTGGTGTGGTGTGTGAGGGGCCGGGGCAGGGAGAAGGGAAGTGAACACAGGCCATGTCGACCTGACTCTGTATGTATGGGTTATATAGATGCTGTATTTTCTCCCCTCTTCCTCCCTCACTGTGAGAGGCAATGAGGCAAACATGGAGCAGACAGCCTGGCTTACAACTGAATTGATTTGTCATGTCAAAATCAGATTCTGCCTCTATTTCCTGACCTTGAAGGAAATGAGTAGGTTAAGGAATTTATCACATGGACTAGATTTTGAAGGCTCAAAGGCAAGCCAGGATGGTCCCCTGAGACTATGGCTTCTTCCCCACAGCCTCTCCATACTGTCAGGGATGAGGCCTTCCTTACTTCTCCGTGGATGTTCTTTACTCTAACGTTCTCTTTTGTAATGGCTTTTTCCATGTTGAGGTTATTGCCTCTTTAAACAGCCAATAGTAGTCGGCTCAATTGTTTAGAAGGTGAACCAGCCTGATTATATGTGGATGTGAAGCTTCTGGAGGTTTGGAGCTGAACCGAAATGAAGTTCAAAGCTAGGGCAGGACTGTGGTGTGTGCAGGGAGAGGTGGAATGAGGTGTGGTATTGAAAGTGTCTCTTAAGTGCCAGCTGTTCTGAGAGATAGAGAGCGGGGAGCGGGGGCGGCCTTTAAGCTCTGGGTTAGTGAGTCTCAGAGCCAGAACTCTGGTCTAAGGATGGGACGATGTTCTTGGATGCCTTTAAGAGACAAGGATAAAGTGGCAAGGGCTTGGTATTCTCTCCTGGCTTATAGCCGGCTTCCTCTGGGTCTCTCTGTGGCTTTTTTTTTTTTTTTTTTTTTTTGGCCACCAAAGATGACTCTCTCTTCTCTTCATATGTTTCTCAGTCTGTATCTGTGGTGATCCCCCCTGGTGATTGATAGAGATAGCAGTGATGCTCTCCAGTCAGAGATAGCAGGGATCTGCAACGGATGTGAGCGGTGTACTTTCCTGTGTGCAGGGGATGGGGTTTCGACCACTGCTGCTGCTGCTCTACAGGTGGACTCAGATGGGGGGAAAAAACAAGCAGAAGGGCTTCCAAGTCAAATTCTAGAGAGTTCCAACATCCTAAGAAGATGGGCACAACGTGTCCCATTGTCAAGTACACTTGGGAAGTAGGGCTGAGGCCAGACATGTACACCGGAAGTAGTAGTCTCAGAGGGAGAAATCGGTGGTGTTCCTGGTGTTACCAGAACACAGTTGGTCTCACATTTCAAGGACCAGCATTCTGGGTGTGGGAAGTGGGAGTGAGTTATAAAGTTTTTTTGGAGGGGAAGTATGGTTTTAAGGTTCAGTGTTGAAAATCTCAGTATGGGTTTGTCATCAAAGCCCTGAAAAATGACCATGGTCCTTTAAGGTAATCTAGGCTACAACTCTTAAAGGAAGGAAAGATTATGAGGGCTGCTCATGAGGATCTTCTGGACATGTTTGGAAAAAGTGGGGGAGGTGGAGCCAGAAAAGATGACAAGAAGGTGGTTGGAAGGCAGAGGAAACAAGACAACTTGAGGAGACGTGGCAGCCTTTGAGGGAAAGAGCCCAATTCTCACAGGACTAGAAACTTCTTTCGGAAGCCTGATTTTCTTTCATTCTGAGCACATTAACAAATAATTTAGACAAGTTCATTTTGTGTTGATGGAACTAGAGCAAGATGTGTTTCCTCTCCCTGAATACAGGGAAACGGCTTGAAGGACAGGAGCCTCCGGGTGAGCAGGGGCCTGGGCAGGCTCTCCTCAGCTGCTCACCCCCGGGGCCTTTCCAGAGCACCTGCAGTACCCTGGCTGGCTTTGCTTTCCTTTCGATTTTAACCAGAAAACTGGCTTCCTCTCCACCACCTCTGGGGCCACATCCTGCTTCCGTTAACCTCTGTCTTAGAGCGTCCCTGTCACATTCTCAGAGCAGGGCTGGCTTCCTCCTTCTCGACAGGACTTAGAATCTCAGAACTGGGAGAGCCTGGAAGGATTGTCCAGTCCACCTATCTTATTGATGGGTAAATTGAGGCCCAGAATATGCCCTCTTTCAGCACCGTTGAGCTTGCAGTAGCTGGTCCTGGTGCAGCCTGGCAGGGACTCTGCTGACTGCTGCTTTGACATTTGGGGTGTAAGAATAGGAGGAACTGTGAAGTCCTTTGATTGTAATGGATGAACAGACAAGAACAAAAACAATCTTTGTTTTGGACAGTACAGGAGTGCAGAATCTTGGGAACTATGTGATCAAGACTCAGGAGCAAGGAAAGGAAATTAATTCGATATAGGGCCCAACATTGTGCTTATATTTGGAAAGTGTTTAGAAGGAAGAGAATATTTTTCATGAAAAACGATCCTACATTTTGATTGTTTAAATTTGACTTATGTGTATGAGTGTTATGCCCCACATGTATGTATCACTTGTATTCTTGGTGCCTGGGGAGACCAGGAAAGGACATTAGATTGCGAGAGCTGTAGTTACAGATTGTTGGGAGCTGCTAGGTTGGTAATGGGAATTGAACCCATGTCCTCTGGAAAAGCAGCTAGCTCTTAACTGATGAGTCATCTCTTTAGTCCTTACTCCCTATTTTTTTTAAAAAAAACAAAACAAAACAAAAACAAAACAAAAAACAGAGCCTCATGTATTTCTGGTGTCAGGATGGCCTCAAAGTCCGTATGTAGCTAAGGATGACCTTGAATTTCTGATCTTCCTATTTCTACCTCCAGAGTGCTGGGATCACCGGTGTGCCACTGACTGGTGTGCCACTGACTGGTGTGCCACTGACTGGTGTGCCACTGATACAGTCCAGGGCTCCTGCTCAGGTTTGTTTTCTCTACCAGTTAAAGCATTGAAAGGCAGGAAAAATCTTGACTGCAGCAGGAGCCGCAGAGACCTCTCAAATCCTGCAAACAGGAGCAGACAGAATTAGCACTTGAAGAATGGTGGTTTTGGGGGGTGAGGAAACACTTACATGTGTCAGACACACAGAAAAAGACCCTCTCTAGAACAGAAGCTGGGTTATTATTATTATTTTTTTAAGACTACAGAGTTTCCTCCCCTAATTTAGGGCTGGTCGGTTTGAAGGATAGGATAGGTGGTTGGCCCACAGCTGTTGTGTAACCTGTCCTGATCCACACTTGAACTTGTTGAGCCAGTCCTTCAGCAGAGAGCCTGAGGGTGGGAGACAAAAGCCTACAAGACCTTTGGCTTAAACTGCCAGGCTTTTGTTTCAAGTCAGGAAGCTGAGGAAGAAGCCTGCCATCTTGGGAGTTCTCTACCTTTATTATCTAACCATGGCCCTCTGCCTATCTGTCTGCCTACAAGGGAGTCTGTCTAACTCCTAGTCTTTCACCACTGTGCCTAATTTATGTGGTGCTGGAGACTGAACCCAGGGCCAGGCCTTCTGGACAAGCACCCTACCAACCAGGCAATGTCATATTCCATCCCTCATCCCATCAGCCAGGGTCTGGCCAGTAGACTCCTGGGTATAAGAGGTCTGGTCCTCTTAATTGGTTTTTGCTTTTTTTTTTTTTAAAGAGGCACAGAGGTTGCCAGTGGACTTGACTGGATGCACAGACACATTTCCTTGCCTAACATCATTTAGGAGCCTAAATTGGGAACTGGACTGCTTTTTAAAATATAGATCTGTAACATCTGATTCTTTGGAAGATTAACTACTGGGTACTGTAGACAGACTGACAAGCGTGTGGTTTGGTGAATCCAGCTCCTAATGAATATGGCTTCCTTCCTCAAAAGGTGCAGACTCACTGTACAGGGACAGCTTCACCTTCAGTGACGAGAAGCTGAATTCTCCAACAGACTCCACTCCAGCTCTCCTGTCCTCCGCTGTCACTCCTCGGAAAGGTGACCTCACCAAATAACTGGACTGTTTCTCTTTTCCCCACCCCCACCCCACCCCCTCCTCAGCGAGGCTTTCCCTTTCGCAGCACACAAAGCAAAGAGATGAGACCAAGGGTCTGGGTGGCAGAGTGCACAGTGAGCGAGCTGTTCCGTGGGATTTGGGCTGCATGTCTTGTGGCAGAAGGGCGTGCCCCTCATTGTCCTCCCAGACTTGGTTCCAGAAGATACAACTCAGCCATTTGGCTTTGCAACAATGAGAAGATTCTTTTTAAATTTCATTAACTATTTACCCCAGGGCTTTTGGGTGACAAAATTTAGCAGAATGATCTAACATGGGGCTATTGAGTTGGCTCAGTGTGGGAAAGGGTGCTTGCTGCCGAGCCCAAGAAGCTGAGTTTGATCTCTGGAACCTCCTTGGTGGAGATCCTCTGATCCCCACATGTATACATACATACATACATACATACATACATACATACACACACACACATGTACCAATATATTTTTAAAGAATAAGATGGACATGATTCAAAGCAACAGCTCCATCTTCTCTCTGTTTAGGTACTAACGGACTAAAGAGGGGTTAACGTTTCATGAACGTGGTTCTTAGTTTTCGGAACCTGCCAAGTCTCACCAGCCAGAGAGCTGAATGTTCTGTTACATTGGACAGGAGCCCTTTTGAGAACAAAAGGAAGTTACCCCCTCCAAGGAAAGTTGAACTTGCTGAAAATAGTTGCAAAAGACAATAAAAATGGAGCCAACTCTTAAAGAGATGTGAAGATTCCACCACTTGTCTCCATGTGGCATTCAAATAGAATTTCTTTCTTTCTTGAAAGAGATATTTTTAAATTCCCTTCTCAACGCAAATGTTGGCAGCCACGGGGGATTCGGCCGTTGTGCAGCTCCGATCTGTAATGGATCTGTGCACTCCAGGGAGAGCGAAGTCTAGAGAATGGCTTAAACACTGCTCAGATCTGCTTCTAATCCTCCAGAGGTAGCGATTACAGAAGCAGAAAAGGCCCTTGTGGCGAGTGGACTTGAAAGCTAAGAACGAAGATCTGTTGTAGGCAGCAAGGGAGACTAAGAATAATATTTGCAATGTATTCCAAGGAAAGCATGAATGACAAACTATACAGGAGAAAGTAAAATACCTACGGAAAGTGTATGTCTCTGGCTGCAGAGGCAGCAGTGTCTAGACAGAAGCTCTGTGCTACTCTGGACATGTCAAGTAAGGCTGTCACGTTCTGTGTTCCACTTTGACAAGAAACAGCAGTAGTTTTACACTCACATCACATTGGAGGAGCACAGTACTATCCTCCAGTAACATCACAATTTGCCATCCCCCACCCCCTTTTACAACACTGAGAGACCGATCTTCCAGGTTAGGGTGGTGGGTGGGGTGGTGGCTGAGGGCCTAGAGAACTACAGGAGGAACATCCAGGCTAGCCTCCAGTCAGTTGCTGTGTTGAAAGTAAATGTGGAACAGACACTAAGGTCTGGTGTGGGGCACACTCCCATGAGGTCTCTGAAGATAACAGTTTCCATAATCCCTGGGAAAAATCCCCCATCAGCTATGTCGGAGAGGGAAGCTGAATCCTTTTCTGTTTTGCAGCCAAATTAGGTGACACTAAAGAGCTCGAAGACTTCATTGCCGATCTGGACAGAACCTTAGCAAGTGAGTACTTGTTTGATGCTTAAAACATCACGGGGGCAGAGCACTGAGCCACACCTTTGATAATGTGCTCTGATGTTTCCCAGCTTGCCCCGGGGGTAGGAAGTTATGCCACAAGGCTGCTCGAGGTACTGCAGCAGGATCTCATTGGCTCAGTTTGGAGGATAAACCTGCAGAAGTGTAGCTGAGTTGCTTTCCCAGTATGCAGGCAGGTCAGCAGTGCACAAGGACATGTTTAGAAAATGGCGAGAGCTTTGCTGATGTCCACAGTGGATTCCAGTTCTGAGAGAAGAAGGCTGAGTGGTCACATATGCCTTCCTCCAGCAAGCCACAAGTCTGGTCTGCTCAGAGTAATTTTCCCGGGTTTGGCGTAGGAGCCTGGGTGAGAGGTCTGACCCATGTCAACTCGCCAGCCAGATTCAGTATATGCTTCTCATTTGGGAATTTCACTGTCATTGTCCATTTTGTGTAACCCAGTCCCCCAAATGGAAAACTTCAAATCAAAGTTGCAATGGGGGTAAGGTGGGGACCTGTGTTAGAGGAAGGAACTGCCACACCATCTGTATGCTCTACTTCAAAAGGACAAGATTGCAGGAGGGAGAAGGACCAGCCCCAACCTGCAGGGTTGCTGGTGTTAGCATTTCTCATTGGGGGACTTGCTAAGCCTTGGAGAATTTGTGTTCTGGCTTCTTAATTACTTAGTGAAAGTGATCTTTTTTTTTTTTTTTCTGCAAGGAGTATTCTATGTTTTTACTCTGCCAAATAGGTAAAAATCTAAAACATCAGACCCAATAGCTAAGTTTAGAATAGCCTGTTTAAAATAGCCGTGTTCTTAACACTCTCGTTCTATATTTGCCTGATGGTTTTATTGCCCCCTTTGCTCCATCCTACATCAGAAGACACAGGCCTGTTTTGACAGAGATTATCCTAATTGCAGCACAATTTGTAATCAGTCCATGCAACACGCCTGTCTACTTTATGCAAATTGCAGCTGGCCTCCTAGTCAGTCCAGTTCACCAGCCATACATTGCACGGGAAGCCTGCCATTAACTTCTGCTTTTGATGCCCGTCTGAGACTATGTGATGTGGTTAAGCATGGGAGTTGTGAACCTCTGGCAGGGATAACTTATTCTATGTCCTCTTTTCAGGTATGTGAAGCAAGGAGTCTGGGGTCCTTATGCCACAAGAGTGAAACTCCAGAAGGCTCCCAGGACCTGGCAAAATCAGCTACTAGAATCTGCTGTGGGAGAGGGCAGAGCCGAGGCTCCTGCCATCTGGCCATTCTTGGTTCACCATAACATTAGCCATTGGGTCCATCTCTTGGCAGTTCAGACAGTGAAGCTGACTTTGTTTACCTACCTGTACCATATTCAAGAGATGATCTATCTAATGTGTTTTTACTCCTTAAACATAACTCTTCTATAATTTAAGATGCTTCTATGGAAATATTTGTAATTACTTATATATAGTTGGAGGTCATAATAAGCTTTCCCATCATAATATATTTTTGTATACAAATAAAATTTAAGCTGGGATCTGTACTTTGAAGGCTGTCTTATTTCTGTCAACATATTTTCATTCAGTAGTTTCCTAGTGGGATGACTGGCTTCTGGAGTCCTAGTGAGAGTCCCATGTGGCGTGCTAACGTGGACTCCTTACATTCTTAAAACCTTTTCTTTGTGGGGCTGGAGAGAAGGCTCAGTGGTTAATAGCACTAGCTGCTCTTCTATAGGAGTTGAGTTCAATGCCCAGAACCTACATACACTCTCACACCTCTCATACACTCCAGTGCCAGGGGATATGACATCGTCTTCTGGCTTCCTCTGGCACTGCAGGCATGTGGTGCACACACACTTAGGCAAACACTCATACATAAAATAAATAAATAAAATCTCAAAAAAAAAAGTCTTTCCCTTGGAGTTGGAGAGATGGCTCAGCAGTTAGAAGCACTGGTTATTCTTCTAGAAGACCCAGGTAGAATTCTCAGCACCTGAAAGGCTGCTCACAACTACCTGTAACTCTAGTTCTAGGGGAATCTAATACAATCTCTGACTTCCTCAGGCAGCAGACATACATGTGTTGCCCAGACATATATGCCAGAAGAAATCCCACTCAAACACATAAAAATAACTAAATCTTTTAAAAGTGCCTTTGGCTTATTTTTTCTTTTATTGTTTGATAGTGTCACATCTTTATATGATACATTTTAGTCATTGTCACACACAGCCCAATTCCCTCCTCATTCTCTTCCTCTCCTGCTGGACCCTGCTCAGCAAGTCACCCTCCTACTTTCAAGTCTTCTTTTTGTGTGGTCCGGAGTTTGATTAGAGTTTCTTGCCTGAGCGTGGGTGGGAGGTTGTTTATTCCAGAGGGAGAGCCACTTCTCAGTGGCTACACCACCGAGGAAAATGAAAACCATGGACCAGTTCATGACTTTCTATGTCATACTCATCCAGGGCTTGTGCTGAATGAGCTTCGTCTGTTCCAGTCTTGGCATATGTGCTGCTGACGCAGTACCCAGTGCTGCTGACGCAGTACCCATCCCTACATTCCTTGTGCTGGTTGGCTATGTAAACTTGAGTAGACTAGAGTTACCTTCGAGAGGGAACCTCAACTGAGGAACTGTGCCCAACAGATTGGCCTGTGGGCATATCTTTGGGGCTTTTGTTTAATTAATGATTGACGTGGAAGGGTCTGGCCCAATCTGGGCAGTGCTATCACTCAGCAGGTGATCCTGGCAGCTTTAAGAAAGCAAACTGAGAAAGCCACTGAAGATAACCTCGTAACCTCATAAGTAGCATTTCTCCATGGTTCCCGCCTCTGCTCAGGCTTGAGTTCCTGTATGGAGTTTTCCTTAGTAAACATGACAGGTAAGTCACATGAAATCCCTTTCCTCCCCAAACTGCTTTTGCTCACAACTTTATCGAAGCAACAGAAAACAAGCTAGGACCACAAGTGTAGTCACATGGTGCAGAGTGACCTTCCTGAGTTCCTGTGGATGACAGACCACATTCAATGACAGTCCTACAGATCACAACAGAACTGGAAGTGTTCCAGTACCTCATGATGTCACAGCCACCATGATGGTGTTGTAGTAGGACGCATTACATATTTGTGGTGATGCTGGTGTAAACCCACTGTGCTTCAGGTCATGTAGAGTGTCACGAACAGTCATAAGATTTGATCGTGACAGTAACAGTCACACTACTTACTGGCTCATGCAGTCATCATTCTTCCACGGTTAGAGGTCACAGGTTTTAGGTATTGTGCACAGACTCTGTTGTACTGCCAGCTGCTTCACACACTGGTTACCAATTTTCTTGATTGTATGAAGAAGTTACATTTAATCAACATATGCTGCCCAGGTTTGTGTTGAGTCCTTTCTATGGTGCTCCTGCAGTGGTAAAAAAATCACTTGGCAACACATGTTTGAAAACTAATAAGATTTTATCTTTTTTTAGGGTATTGTGAAAAGATACCTTTGTTTTCTTTTCCTTAATCTTCTAAGAAAGCTTTGTGTACAATGTAAACATTTTCTCTTGCTTTTTAATTTAAAGAACTTTGTGTGTGTGTGTGTGTGTGTGTTATGCACACATGTGCCACAGTGTGTGTGTGGAGGTTGGAATACATCTTTGTGAGGTAGTTCTTTCCCTTCACCTTTGAATGGGTTTCCGGGATTAAATTCAAGTCAGCAGGCTAGTACAGGCTAGGCCTTTTACTGGCTGAGCTATCTCACTGTTCCCCACCCCCACACTTTTTTTTTTTTTTGGAGAATTTGAGACATGATTCACTGAAATTTTAGTTTTGCAGCTCTTGGCATATCCACAGATATTACAGCCATCATCACTGCCCATTGTCGGTATGAATCTGTCTACTCTAGACACATTACATGGAATTATATTACTGTGTTCTTCTGTTAGCATATTTCCAAGGTTAATCCACATGGCATTCCTTTGAATAACAAAGTAATATTCCACCATGTGGCTATGTCACATTCTGTTTATACTGCTTAGTTAATGGATGGCGTTCGGGTTTCTATTTTTGACCTAGTAACACTCTTGTTAATATCCGTGAGCAAGTATTTGGAGGTGTCTTTTACCTCTGCTTGGGTATAGAAGCAGAACTACGATTATGGGGTTAGATCAAGCTCTGTGCTAATCTTTTGAGGAACTGCTGAATGTCATGGAAGCAGTCACATCTTGTCACATTCCCAGCTGTTGTTGAGGCCTCCCACTGTCCCATGTCCTCATCTACAGTGATGGTGTCTCTATCTGAAGAGCACTCTACTGGGTGAGGAGTCCAGTCTCACTTGTCTTGTGGTTCTTATCTGATCAATGAAGTCTTTCCATGTGTTTACTGTACTGGCTTCTGTTTCAGTGTTGAGCTGTAGAAAATTACGGAGCATTCTGGATACTGGTTCCTTACCAGATGTGTGACTTAAAAAGTACTCTTTGGTTTATGAGCTTGTTGTACAGGGCTGTCTGACCACCATCTCCAGGAGTTCATCTGGGTTTGCTTATAAAGGATCTTCACAGCTGGGCCTATTGACTTTTTACCTTTCCTCTTAGAAAGGAGGTGGGGAAGGTCATGGAACCCTCACCTGGTACCCAACCGTTCCACCTCCCAACCAGCTGTATGCAGTTCTTCCAGATTGCAGATGACCTAAGGGTATGGGGGTGGGGCTAGAGGCTACCTGGTTAGATGACTTCATCTGCATAGCCAGGGGGAAGCTGTCTTCCTTGTTGTGTTCAGACCTCCTGTGCAACTAGCTGCCTTAAGGTCACCTATCTCCTTCCCATAACCTCTCACCTATTGCTCTGTAAGTAGGTGTAAGAAACACTTTGGTTACCCCTCGTAAACTTTGGTAGAACTGTGGAATTGCACCTTAGTTTGTTAATGGAGTTTTTTTAGTAACAAGGGTACACCTTGTCCTTGAAGAAATGAAAGTTTTGATTTTGTTGAAATCCAATTGTTTTTTCTTCTGTTGCTTGCAGTTGTGTTCTTTCTAAGAAACCAGTCAGGTCCCATCTCCTAAACAGTGGCTCCTAGTCTTTTAATAATTTCATAGTTTTTAATGTGGGCATAGTGGTTCATGACTGTGGTCCCAGTTACTGAGGTATGATCATCTCGGGTCCAGGGCAAGCATGGGCTACATAGTGAGAATCCATCTCAAAACAAAACAGAAAAATAAAAATCAGGCATCAGGAGAGAGATGTCAGTAAGGTGCTTGTCTTGAGGGGATCAAGACCCAAGTTTTATGTCCAACACACACACAAAATTGTTAGGCACTGTGGCATGCTTGTAATTCCAGTGCAGGGCCCGCAGAGACAGGCATATCCTTGGGGTTTGGGTATCAGTCAGTTAATCCAACTTGGCAAGTTCCAGTCCAGAGAGAGATGTTGGATCCAGAAAATAGGTGGGTGGGACTGACTGTGGCTCAGTAGTAAGGCACTTGCCTTACTAGAATGGTGTTTTAGGCTCAATCCTCAGTACTGAAAAAGAAAAAAAAAAAGATACCTGAGATTGTTCTCTGCCATCTCAGTGCACATGAATGACACACATTCACACTGTTAGCATTTCCTCTAGGCACCATCCAACCGTTACCTAGCAACAGCCAGGTAGGAGCCTGGCTTACATATAAGGACCGTTTTCCTCTTCCTCCCCTCCCTTCCTTCCCCCTCTCCTTACTCTTCCTCTCCCCCTCTCTCTTTCCCATTTCCCATGTGTCCTAGTGGATCTCTTCCTCTTTCTCACTCCTCTCTCTCTGTCCTTCTCTGTCTCCCTCCCTCCTCTGCCTCTATTCCCTCCTCCAGGTCCCAAATAAACCCCCTTTTACATTAGGGCTGTCCGGTGGCTTGATTGTTGGTGGGGTGACACCTTGGCAGGGCTCACCAAGGCACCCCATCACGGCATCATTTTCTAAAACACAGCATACACTCAATGCTCACACACACAAACTCAACAAAATAAATTGTAGTTTTAGCTTTTGCATTTAGGTCTGTGATTTACTTTGAGTTAAGTGGTACAAAATTAGTTCCAACATCGTTCTTTCACACTAGATCAGTCAGTTGTCACAATACAACTCTTTAAGAAGACATTCCCTGTATTGGGTCAGATTGGTGCCACTGTGGAGCAGCAGCCATAAGTGGTTGGGCTCTCCAGCTTCCTTCTTCTTTCTCATCCTTTTGCATAGTCTCACTGTGCAGCCCAGGCCGTCCCAGAACTTGCAATGTAGCTCGGGCTTCTGAGCTCAAATTCAAGAACCTCCTGGCTCTGCCTTCTCTGCGCTGGTATTCGTGATGTGCACCATGCCAGGCTGATGTTTCTTAACTACTGATCTTTATTTATAGGTGTGAAATTCCTCTTAATTGACAAGGAGCTGATTAAATTCTTTTAAAGTTACAAATAACAGAAGTTGATTTTACCTCCTTACCTTCTCTCAATTATATCTTGTAGTTTTTGTGGTATAGACCGTGCATCTTTTATTAGATTTATTGTTAAATGTCCTAATGACTCTTCTACTGCTATGAAAAGACATCATGAACATG